TTTACTAATGTTATCCTCTAAATCTGATTACTAAATATGGCATAAAGCTCTAGTTACCGATTTTTTGTATGGAAAATCTCTGATTTTTGAGCGTATAAATGGATCAAACAATATAAAAAGAAGAATCTGCGAATTTCACTAACCAGCACTGCAGGAGGTTGGAGGGTCTTTCTGGAGATCCTTCAGCTCCTTCAAGATCCGTTTCGAAGCCATTTTCGCACTGAAAAAAACCCCTAAAAGAAAAATAAATCCAACTTAACCTTAGATCGATCCACCTTAAAATTGATTCGAACCCAAAAACAAGAACAGAAAGTGTTGAATTTGACTAAAGGACCGAGCTTTATTTTCTCCTCTGGGTTGATCTAAAGGAGAAAGATTTACCTCAAAAAGAACCTCCAAACTTGGTTTACGATTCACTCCTGCAGATGCTTATTAGGAGAAAGAAAAACGAAAGAGAAAGTTTGGGTTTTTATGCTTGAAGAAAGAAAAAAAGAGAATATTTTTAATTGGATAATAAAATACATTTTCTTTTCTTGTTTTTTTGTTTTAAATAATGGCTGCTTAGGAAATATCTGTAAAATAATAGTATAAAAATGTTTTTTTCTTCTTCAAGAGAATGAAATATAAAGGGAAGGCTATATTAGGCCATCTTTATCCATGAACTTTTGAAAGTATCATTAAATATAAAATTATTAAAAACATAATCTTTCTTCCTTTTATTTAACTTTATACCTTCTCTTTCATCTTTTTACTCAACTTTTATTAATTTTATCTCTTTAAATATAAAATTATTAAAAACACACTCTTTCTCTCTTCAAAAGTATCAACTATTTGATACTTTTGATACTTTCTCTCCAAAAATATCCACTATCTCTTCCCTTTACTCAAATTTATTAATTTTATATTTTAATACACCCCATTATTTCAACCAAAAACACTCTCTTTCTTCTTTTTACTCAAATTTTAATAATTTTATATTTAATGATACCAACCAAAATTCACCAATAAGGATGCTTTAGTCCCATTATCACTTTCCTTATTGGTG